TCATCTCACTTGCTCTCACGGCTTTAATCCCGTGCCACAAGGGAGACTCAAACTGTGCCCCTCAGCCCCGGCACCTAACACGTAAGAGGCGTTCAGCAAACATTAAGGACATGCGACTTCGCTCCTGCCGCTCAGGTCTCAGACTGGGAAACCCACCTGCGCGTGCCCCGCCAGCCCCCTGGTGTGCCCGGGCAGACCCAGCAACGCTCTGCCTGCCCTTGGCCGAGCGGACTCGGCTGGGTGGGTTCCCGCCACGTCGCCGTCTACCGCAACTTGGTAGAAAACTCACAAATCTAGCAAGAATAAAATATCTGGTGACACGTTGCACCCTCTCCTTTTTATAAAGCATTACCAAAGCCACCTCTGTGACATTGCCGTCCCTCTTCTGTCCTCCAGATTAGCAGGTTCCCAACTGTTTCCTCGAACATAAGCTCAGTGCCCTTGGAGTGTGAGTGGAGCTGCTGGGAGTGGGGAGGGGGCAGCCTGGCTGGGAGACCCTGGCCCCCAAGCCTGCCCACCACACACCTGCCCCACCTGAAGAGTCAAACCCACCCCCAGGCCACGTTAGGGAACAGGCGAAACTGGAGCTCTTGCATCGGGTCAGAGAAGGCTGGAGACCTTCTTGCCCGCCCTGGCGTGTTATAGTCACGCTTACAACCGCAGGGCCACGAGCGTGCCTGAGGTCGCAGCTTGCTTGCACCTTGCTGAGCGCTACTGGGCTCTGCAGCAAACATGATGGCATGCGGTGACAGGGTGCTGGCATTTGGGAAACAAATCACATGAGGGCTCTGGGTAGCAGGTGGCAAGCGAGCTGTCAGTGGTTTTTAGCAAGGAGTGACTCACTTCAAAGGACAGGAAGCCTGAGAGCTAACGAGAGGCCTGAGTACTTGGCAGGCGTGCCCGTTAGCCTTTTTCAACTGGGAACAAAGTTCGGATGGATATTTCAATGAACCAGGAAGTCAGTGCTTGTCAGTCTGGTCTGCACCACCCACCCCGACCACTTCATCAAGAGTGGCTGCAGCTCATCCTGAAGCTTAACTGGCCACGAGATCCGGTGTCCATACTGACTTCTGGTGCTAGAAAGACGAGATCTGGGGATTAGCAGCTTGCCCAGGGTCGCTCGGTTGCAGGGCTGGGCAAACTCAGGTTTCCTGACTCCTAAGCCAGTCCTATTTCCTCTTCCCACTAGGTTTTGCTGCAGTAAGTGGGAGAAAGGACCCACGCCAGTTCTAAATGGGCCAGCTCTGTCCGGTTCAGTGAGGAAAAAATCGAGTGATCAGGATCCACCAATGATTGCGTTGCAAAAGCCTTCTCGCGGTCAAGGGCTAAGAGCATGTCGTTGAAAAGCACCCGCCTCGTTGAGGGAAGATTTAGTTCTTCCCCCCAATTCTTTTACTGAGTGGCAAACGGATCTTTTAAAACAGAAGCAAAAAGAGACCAGGGCACCGAGAATGCAACGCTCAGAGATATGTGAAAACTTTAGGAACTCTGATTTTACGGATTCTACTTTAAATGAAAACCTCGTGGGAGAAAATCATCACCCTGACCTTTTGTTCTCGGATACAGCGAACACTGGCCAAATGGTTTTAATTTCCGAATTTATTAAAATGATTAACCTCAATACTGCAAGTGCATGTACAAAATATTTGTAAAAAATGTTTTTAATGAAACGTTAAAGAACTTACCTCGAATGCTGAAAAAGTCCTTTTTTTTTTCATTCTTTCAGTACAAGGAATACATTGTATCTCAAAAGTATTACAACTCAGCAAAACAATTTAAAACAGTAGTTTGAAAAATGATTGAAAATCGAATACTTTACATATATTTCTACGATCATCTCCTAATTCTTACAATGCCAAAGTCTTTACCAATCATTGCATAAGCTCGAGCTGAAAGTTTTACTGAATGAAAGGTTTATTGACCTCTTCCGAGCGGTCGCCGGCGTGTGGGTTTCGCCATGGCGCACGGCGACGTCCTGCAGCAGAGCTGGGGCAGCTCCGAGGCCCTACCCTTAGAAACGGAAATCGGGCTCCCTGGAAGGCGTCGGCAGCGGCCGCACGCGCGTGTGCACACCGGACTCCCGAGGCAGTGACTGCTACCGAGTGTCACCGCTCAGACCCACGGGAAGGTCGGCCTCGAAGGGCAAGGCCGCAACAAAGTTAGAACGAACATCATAAATAAGTTACGAAAGTGAAGCTTAAAAATGGAGAAAAGTGGGAAATGCGCAATTTTATTACTTTTTCCTTAAGAGTGAAATTCCTGAAATGGCTATTGTCGGTGTTCCAAGGAATAGTTCAAGAGATGGTCTCTGACCCTCTACGGAACCGCCAGGCCGAGGCGGGAAGGAGAGGTGGCCCTCTGCCCTCGGGCCCCGTCCGGACACAGGGTCTACGTGCGACTCTCCTCGGTGGCGCGAGTCTCACTTCTCCTACACAGGGACACCGTGAGGCCTGGTCGTGGTCCGTAACGTGCTCTGAGTGCCTCGGAGCACTTCGCGGGCGAGGACTCGAGACGGAGCACGGCGGGCGGGTGTGTGTGTGCAAGGACGTCGCCCGCGCTTGCACTCGGTCCCTGAGGGTTAGACCGCACCGTGACCAACAGGGGACGACGCGACACTGCCGAAGGAGCTCCTTGAAGAACGTGAGGAGGAAACATACCCTAAACCTAACAGACCTCTGGGAGTGTTAACAACTGCTGCGTGGAACCTCCTGGCAGCCGTGTCGCGGAGCCGAATCCGGAAGCCGGCAGGGACCGACCGCGACAGTGAGCACGGCGGGTCCCTCCACCGGACTTCTCGTGACCCGCAGGTTCCTTCTGGTATTTTAAAACGTGGGCTACTTTTCTACGGACGCTATGTGGATCCCCCACATTGGTTTTACTCAGGAACACTGTATGTCTGGAGGTACGCGGACACATTTCCCAGAAATGAGAGACCCACTGGCGTCGAACACCTGTTACAGATTTATATCCCCCCAATTCTTTGTCCGATTTGTGAAACAATCCAGAGAAATGAAAAAATTGGTACTGAACATAAAGTAGCAACCAAAATTTTGCTCATTAAGTTACTTAAAATTAATTTCTCTTCTCAAAGTGCTTCAAAAAAAAAATTAAATCTGACTCTTCTTTTAACTGATAATATAGTCAAAAACTCTTTGATATTTTCATACATTAACATAAGCCAAGAACTCCCACTGATGCAGTGCTTAAAACTATATATTTATAATTTCCTATTTTATTGGCATGAATATTTCTAAACTTAAAAACCTTCCTGGTAAGTTCTTTTAATTTCTTATGACAAAAATTTCTCACCACACACAGATATTTACAACATATACATTGTTTTCAGTTCTTTACATTGAATTTCAAAGACAACATTTTTATAGGTTACCACAGAACAAAAGCTGTGACTCATGTTTTTATTTCATAAACTATTATAAGTTAAAGTGAATAGAGTTTTAATATTCCTTGTAGCATTTTACAAGTGCAACAGAAAACTTGAAGACCCAAATTAAGATAGCTGTAGTTCATTAGATAAATGTTGCTTGTTGTCATCACATTGTTCACAGCAAATTTTTGAAAAAATAAGCACCAATCATTCTTGCAAAGAACAATTTTATCTAAAAGGGTTGAAAAGTGTTAAATACAAGGTCTTTAATTTACATGACAAGCAATAAATACGCTGCATCGAAACTCATCCTGCACACTGCCACCCTCGTACAGAGAACGTACTGAAAAGTTAGCTGTCACGCTTGTAATTGTACTTTTTTTTTTTTTAAAGAAAACCGATCTGACTCCCGACCGATGGTTTGCTATGTAACCAAGGCCACAAACAGGACACCTGGGCCAGCAAACAGTGTGAAACTGACAAAACTCCAAGGGGGAAACATCTAGCGAATAAATCAAAAAGCCAAAGATCATTGCTGGTGATATTAGCATATACTAGGAAACCTTAATATGCTGCCACTATGATTTGTTTTGAATTATTTAGTCATATATTAAAGAGCCGGCTGATGCTCTTAGGTTAAAAAAAATTGTGTAGCCACATTATTGTTTTCAACGTCCTGGGTGGAAAGTTGCTATCGCTGTACAGTTTTGCTTGAGCCTTTATTTTACAACGGGGCTTTCCCTCTAACTCGGAATTGCACGTAAGAAGGCTATTTAAAAAGTACAATAAAAATCTGCACAAATCAGACTTAAGAAGAGTCAGTACGCTGTACACTTTCTACAGTATTACGCTGTTACGTGAAGAAACGAGAGAAGTGCTGCCGCTAAAACGTTTCGGTTGAGGAATAATCGACTGGAATTTTTTATTTCTTTAAAGTAGTTATCCCCGGTCGAATTAAGACCGAGAGCTTACGCGTTAAGCCTCAAAGACTGATCTTCTCTTCTCCTGGAAGAAATGTCAATATCTATAGAGTCTTTCCCAACTATTAGCCTCAATCGCTTGGCCGGAGGAAGAGGAATAAAATCATCTTCAAAGTCATCATCATAGTCCTCCCCCTCCCCCTCCCCCCCGGAAGAGGAGGAGTCACCTGTACTTTCTTCCTCGTACTGACTGTAGTCGTCGACTTCCATGCGGGACTCCAGCAGGGACAGAGGGTCGCTACAGCACACCCCGTTTTCATGAAGCCCCTCTGGGTATGAACCCCTACCCTCCTCGTCCCGCTTTAGCTGGATTTTCAATTTTGTGGAACTACTGCCTGATCCTGAGTTAAATCCATTATTGAGCTTTGCTACATAGAGATTATTATCATTTTCGTGGTCTTTACTTAACTTGATGCTTATTTTTGAAGAATTCACCCCGTCGTTCTCTGGGTCGTTGGTCTTGCTGCTGCTGTCGTGACGCCTGCGAAGAGTCAATTTGGGGATCCCGGAGTTGTTTTCCAGGATCAGCTGCGCGTCGTACCTTGTGATCCGCCTCTTCTTTTTACTCTTTGCAGTTCTGCAGCCGTCTCTTGCTCTGAAGCTCTCCGCTGCCACGACGGAGCCGTCAACGGGGCAAGGGGCCCAGTCCCCGTAGCTCCCGGGCGAGCCCTCCGCGCCGCTGTGCCCGCCCTGGGCGGGGTGGGACATCGCATCTGGCCCGGCCCCGGCCCCTCCTGGGGAAGCGTGCAGCGGGGTGGGCTCCTCTGCTTTGGCCAACTGTCTCACAAGTTTTCCTTGTCGTGACTTCTTTTTTGCAATGCTGTTGTCACTCTTAGGACACTTTGCTTCCCTGATTGGGGCAGTGTCGTGGGCCAGTTCTTCATCCTGCACCGTAGGAGCTGGCTGCTCGCCACCATCCAGGCGAGCTTCCGCCAAGCTGTCTTTACAGCCGTCCAACGTATTTGGTTCAAGCTTGATGTCAGAGGTCTCCTTCGAATCCATTCGTGTCCTCGCAGACCGCCTGGTTGTGTATGTGCTGGGGGCGCCCTCCCCGTGGGGGGCGCCCTGCCCAGCGCTCTGTTTGTGCTCTCTTGCTGCGTGTCTGGTTAAGCACCCACTGGCCACTGCGGCTTGTGCTGGTCCCTCCGGCTCCTTATCTTTTTTGATGGGCAAATTTTTATACAGAACGACTTTAGGCTCCTTCAGTACTAAGTTTCCCATCTCGAGTTTTCTCGAAGCACTCTTCTGCTCCAGCCGTTTGCAATGATTTCTTAATTTTATCTTAGAGAGTAAAGGCTTTGCAGGCTTTTTCGGTTTCTTTGGTACCCTGGAATTATTTACATGAGTTAGCTTAGATGAGGTAGAGTTGGAAGAAGCTGGGATTCTGGACATAGACTGCCTCGGTAATGTTCTGCTCTTGCTGGTCTTTTTCACACCAACTGAAGATTTGCGGCTAGAAGCTGCAGTTAAAAAAAAACAAAAACAAAAACAAAGCAAAGATGAGAAGCGGCCTTGGTAACCCTGTAAGGTTCAACCAAACGATGCCCCAAACCCGACTCGGCCCTGAAATGTTTGGATTATACACACATATGGCAGACAGACCCCCAGCTCGGCTTCCAGCACATAAGCTGTTTTCCTTTATGTTCTCTTTCTAATTTCTGCCTCTAATTTATGGAGCATCTATACATTTGCGAGGTTAAATAATTTGGTGATTAAAAGAGCTCTTAGCACAGCATGCACCTAGATTTCACTCTAAGCTTGTCTTTATCATGATACTGGTCTAAACTAAGGATTTCTTTTCCTGGTTTAGTATTTTACCATATAAAAGATTTGAAGCGGAGTAAAAATCATAGTTTTCTTTCACAAATTCTTCTTAAAATAATCACTTTAAATAGGTTTCTTAAGTCCACTACTCATTAACTCAAAGTGAGCCTGTTACTTGACCAGAAAAGAGAACAGAAATACTTCACTAAGAGACAAATTCTATCATGCTGGTTTCAAACAAGAAAAAGCGATCCTAAGAACCACACACTGTTATTCCCAACAGACACTCGCCCAGAAAGAACTGCACTATTTAAAGCCGCCCCTTCGACACTCTGAGGACCAGCAGGACTTGCTGGGCCCTGTCCCTCCCGTGACTGCCAGCTGCCAACAATCCGACTGCAAAGGGGAAGCAGCACGCTGCCAGAACGACTCAGGACCCCGGGGCTCCCACCTCCTCCCTCCGGACAAGGATACAGGACGGCCGTGGTGGCCCTACCGCGATCCACCCCTGCGAAGTGATGTCCAAAAGGCTTCTCTGTGACTCAAGTTCCCGCTGCTCCCACAGTGAGCCTCTGGCCTCGCCACCGACTTTCTGCCATCTTTGTTTTCCTCTGCATTTACACTTGGACCTTTATTTATAGTGTTTTATGAGTCAATTTCTCAGTTAGTTCCCCGCATTCCCCACCTGAAAACCCCTTCCTCATCGAAATATCCCTTTAAATCATTCACCAGGGAAGCTGAGATGGGCAAATAATCACCATCTCTCACAAGAAAACAGGGAAGAAATAAATAAATAAATGTGGGCAAGCCCAGCACACTGCCCGACAAAGACTGCCACACACTACATGCTTGAGGGTTGCCACGGTGACTGCTGTTCCTTCTGCATGGCTAAGCAAGTAAGTCTCTATTAGTTAAATTTTATTCAGAGGAACAAGAATGGCTCCTCCTTTTGGCATTCCAAAAAGATCAAACTACCAAGAACGGAAGGCTCTGTCCTCAAGGAGAGTTGCCCATAAACGGCTCTGAGGTACCAAAACCAGCAGGATTCCCAGGAACAAGATCCCCCAAATGAACCAACACGCTTCCGTGTGGGCTGTTACCAAGAAGGCCACTCGTTTTGTGAATAGTAGCAGTAGCAAAGTTTAGATGCCACTCGATTCGAGAATAATGAAGTGGAATTATACAGAAAACCTGCTCGAAATTATTTTTTAAATTTAAGAATATTCAGGGCAGGTCTTTTGCTAGTCTTCCTTCTGCTTACAAGGCTGCCATCAGGTGACTGAGTTCACGTGCCTACTGATGTAAACGCACACCGGTGTCTGTGCTCGGCTTTCTCAGACGTGGCTACGATGGTCCTTTGCTCGGCCTGTGACTCTTCAAGGACCATTCCATTACCAGGCTTAGTGGTTCTCAACCTTCTTTTTTCTTCTTCCATCCACGCTCCTTTCGTCCCTGCCATCAGCCCTACCCGACGATCACGTATACTTTGTAATCTTAACAGCAATCCCCAAAATGTGGATCCAGCCTGTCCCTCTGATGAGATGACCTCTGCCAATCTCTCTGACCACCTCCTGGTCACAAAACCCAGTGAACACTTTTCAGCCCTTCTCTCTCTCTGCAAAATGTAACATTGCTAACCGCGTGTTTTCCTGGAAAACCCTCTCCCCCAGGCCGCCCATGAGCGCCCTCTTCCATCCGCCCGCGGAGTGCATTCCTCAGGCCACTGTCCGAGCCCCGGGGAAACCAGGTCTCGGGTGATGAGCATCCACTTCCCCATGGCCATCACCATCAACCTGCTGGCAGTTCCCGAACCACTTTCTCTGGCCCGATTCTCTCCGAAATTACAGATCCACACCGCCAAATGCCTACGGGCATCCAGATTACCCTGTCTCATGAGCCCAGCGAACATGCTGAAACGGAGCCCACCGCCAAGCCTCACGGCTGCTGCTCCTTCGAAGCTCTCCATCTCGGCCAGCACCACCGCCGCCCACCCAGCTGCCGAGCACACACTGGGAGGTCATCCCTGACGCTTGCTTTCCCTAACTGCCTCACCCCGTCGACCCCCGTGCCCTGTGCCGTCCACGCCTGCATGTCACTGCCACCGCCACCCTCCTGCCTGATCCACGCAACAGCTTCCAGCCTTTTCTCAGCTCTCCCGTCGCCTCCCCAACACCCCGTTCCTCACCACAGAGCCGGAATGACTTTCTTGGTGCACTGTGTCATTTCTGGGGTTTAAACTTTTCAGCAACCTGACACCCTAAGAATAAAGTCCAAAACTTTAAACTATGATCACATCCTTCTTCCTACCTTCTAGTCCAGCCACGAGAAACGTGACTTACCCAAGTCCCACACTCATCCCCTCTGCTTTGACGATGCTTCACGTGGCCAACCTTTCATCCCCCTCTCAGGGAGGCTGTCAGGACTTCCTACACACCACAGGCTGCCCTCCTACGTCGCTCATGACGCCTTGCTTGGACACTGGACTCGTTAGAGGAATCTCGTTTTGGGGTGATTCGGATCTGGGCTCTCGCCCTTCCATCCCTCCTTCCAGTGGTCAGCTGACTGCCACGAACCACTGTCCAAGCACTTTAGTTCGTGGGCTCAACAGCACAAAATATTGCACTGATGCTACGTATTGTTGCAACAGTGATTTCACTTACATGTTTGTATCTATCAGCGTATCCTCGTTTTTTCTGAAAAGCATGATCTCATCAAAAGCCCAGCTAGAAGGTGTGTTTATCAAGTCACAGGTCAAACGAGACACAGACAAACCGGGCAAGAGAAGGACGAGGAAAGTGGCTGAGAGTGCCAAGGGCTCCTCGCTGTCCCCAGAAGTGCCACAGGATCTTCGAGGCACTTTGAGAATGTCAGCGACAGCGGGCTAGAGGGAGACAGTGGCCACAGCGGCCACTATTAAGAGTCGATCAAGAGACTAAGGATTCTGACGTAAGTGGAGGTAAGGTGTGCCTGTGGCCGCCATGGCTTCAGCACAAACGCGCCACGGACTCTCCTCCCAGTGCCTGAGACAAAAACCAAATGCATAAACCTAGACGGCCATTTTAAGTGGAGAGAGATATTCTTAGCAGTTATGACGTAGCAGGTGCTGTGCACATGGCCAGATCAGTTCGCTCTCAAGCCTTGCCAGCACCACCTGAAGGAAGGGCTGTTACGGTGTGTGAGGACCGAGCTCCTGGGACTAGCGTGCCCAAGACGGTCCGTCTGGTGAGCGGCAGAAATGGGATCTGAACTTGGTCTATGATCAACTGCAAGTTTTTAAGAGCTCTATTGTACTGCCTCTAAGGTACGCCACAGAATTACTATGGTGACAGGCCCAACTTATGGGTAAAGGACCCAGGTGTGGCAATCACGGTCATTTCAGGGTTTCCTCAGTCACAAAGCGACCCTGCGTGGGCATCGAGAATTATGGCCAGACACAAGAGCAGCAAAATGTCATCGAAGCTCTCCGAGGGCCAGGGCTGTGTCTGTACGCTGTCCTGGGAAAGCCCCAGAAATGCACGGACATTATGAGCCACAGTGACATGAGGACTGTTACACGGTGACACCCTCAGAACCTGAGGATCCAGAAAACCCTCAACAGACTTCAGAGACATCAGTTCATGGAGTTCACCAGGCACAGCAAGCAGCCTCCATCTTACGTGATCAGCACAGACTGGCAGTGGCTGCTGGAACGGGCTTCTGGAAAGGACTCGGAAGCAGCTCGTGGGCTCAGCAGGGGAGAACATTCAGATCAGACAGCGACATCTGTAACAGGCGACAGTGACCCAGCCCACTGCCTCTAGGACAGATGCTTCTTACTTAGGGTCAACTTGCTCCGAGTCTTCGGGGTCTTGCACTGACTTGTAGCATTCGTAGTGACTTATGTCCTACATCACAGTATTGACCATGGAGGGTGGCCCAGCCTCTGAGGCACTGGGGACCTAAAACCCAGCATCTTCCAATAATGGCATTATAATTCAGGCTTGAGGACCGAATTTGTGAACATGGCTTTCTTGTTGTCTCCTCTCTCGGAATGTTAAACAGCCAAGATGTGGCTCTCGCAACTTTTCAAAAGGGCATCTGCGTTGAAGAAAGAAGTCATCTTTCTTCTGACTAGGCAAAATGTTTCTTGAAAAAGGATATATATGCTGTTCAAAGCAAGCAGTTCCTGTCACTGCTGAATTCTAGACCAAATGCAGGGTAAACATGGCAGCCCCGCGTGGAGAAAGCACCCCGGAGCCACGCACACAACTCTCGTCCGCCTGCCTTGGGGGACGGGCTCAGGGAGCTCTGGCTTTGCTACCAGCTGCCGTTTCAAAAAGCCTTTCTTTCAAACAGGTAGAAGGACATGGTCCAGACACAAACACCAAAAGAAATACAGCATAAAAGAATGCATGAAAGAGCCTGAGAAAACACTGCTGTGAACATGTCGAGTGTGCGCTGGCCTCGGAGGTGGAGTAAATCTCTAGCTCCCTTGGAGCACTGAGCCAGGTCTATCAACTGTCACACGACCCTCAGTTTATCTCAACATCCCATGAATTACTCAGACAAGCACTCAACAGAAAGGCGAGCTGAACAGAGCAAGCACCCTCCATCAGCAGACACTGGTGAGTGCTGTACTTCCGTTCTGCCAGGCTAAGACTACGGCTCAGGGGGGTCCTGCTCCCGCCAAGCTGGAAATGGCATTCACAACCTGCTCTGCGTCACTGTGCACTTGTCCCGTCTCGGAACTAAGGTGCAAACTCCCTGAGGGAGAGCCCGAGTCTCTCGCATTTCTTTAATCTCTTAACTACGTTAATCTTTGGTTCATTAATACATATTACTAGGTGGTCACACAGTACACTAGACACCTTCTAAAAATATCTGTATGCCAACCTTTGAAACTAACTAGTGTACTGAGTTTAGTATCTACACGTCAGAAATAGTTAATGCATGAAAGCACAAACGCCCCCATGAAAGTCACAGAGCCACTCAATGTGGACAGCAACACGCTGTCTCCACACACGGCTACTGGCACATTCCTATGTATACCTGTCCCTTGTACACGTTTATAAATGCGTTTCACAAGTCTCCAGTTTCACCAAGGAACCAGACTCAGAAAACGAACATTGATTATGCTGCGTTTATTATCAGAACCAACAGTCAACAGTGAATGATGGACTAACTGCTCTTTCTGTCCATTCTGGACGATATAAACTGGAGCGGGCACACAGGACCGCCTCACACTACAGAGGTCACGTTGGCCTCTGGCTCCCAGCAGCAGGCAGGTTCAGGAGCTCATGGTGGGGACATTCGCCATCCTGGGAGACACCTTCCCTTTTCTTTGGGATTTTCTGTGAGGCAGGGGAGCACCCACTGTTGGGCTACAAATGTCTGAAGACAGGGAGGAGAGCCTAAAAGTCAGGTCTCGGGGGCACTCGGGTGCTGAGAGGGGCGTACGCACGTTTACGGGCCCAAACGGGCGCTCTGGGGACCACGATGTCAAACTTTAAAGCTTTATTCCTGTCAGGGACAAGTCAGACTAAAGAGCCTACTCCTTTAGCGGAACTAGAGAAAACTGGTGTCACCCGGACGGGAAACGGTAGCGATCAGAAAGGTCTGGGACTTCGAAGCTCCATAGACATGATGCGCTTCGCTGCTCAGTCAGGCTCAGGCGTTCTTCTCTCTGCTCTTTATTCTTCATTCTCTCCTTCTCCGGTCCCATTAGTTCGTGCCCCCACCCCACCCACAACTGGCACCTTAAATCTTGCTTCTTTCTCCTTTTCACCTCTCTTGCTACTTTTGGTAGTGGCTGATAGGTCACAGTACAGTGGCATTTAAAATGCTCCTTTATCATAATTCTGAGTCTGGTAACTGGCAGTTTAGTGAATTTGAAAAAAGCAAGTAACAAAAAGGTGGAAGCCTTGAAGCCAGATGTGAAGGACTCCCCAAGTCCACGACCCGCCCAGCACGGGCTAGGCATGGCCACGTGGGTGCCCGTCTGACTCCACCCAGTCCTCTGTCTTCTTGCAGGACCTAACGACAGCATTATAGTGAAACTAAGACCTTGAAAATGTTTCTCTCAAACATATGACGACCCTGGAACATATGATGAAGAATTTAATGTCCAGTTATCAAGTATTCAAGAAAAGCAGACAATTCTGCCTAGAACACCATATTGAATCCGGGGTCGGGGTACAGTCCGCCTTTGTGCTCAAATAATTTCTAGAACCTTGCAGCACTGCTGAAGGGCAGGAGTCCCAGAGTTTCGATACTGAAAAGAGCAAAACTATTGAAGCATGCTTCAGTAAGCAAACTGTGTGAAAACGCTTAAAAAAAAAAAAAAAAAGATACGCTTATGGGAGCTCCCTTACTTACTTGCGTTGTTTTTTTCCTGAGTGGTGTCTGCATCAGTGTTAGAGCTGACAGATTGACTGTCTGAATTTTTGCTGCTGTCACCTAACTTTTTAAGCCTATTTAAGCGTTTATCTGTCTCTCTGAGTCCGTATTTACTGTTGATAACAGGAGCAGGCGCAGGCAGTCCCACTCTGGATTTAAAAGCACCAGTTCCCCGTCTGAAAGAGAAAACGGCAGACGTTAAGCGATGAACCCGTTACTCACAAGAACCTCGGCTGCTGAGGGCGACCGGCCACACCAGACCGACAGACGTGATGAACTGACGAGGTCTCAGTCATCACTGGGAATCTGCCGAGCCTAGGCCTCTCAAAACAAATTAAATATGCATACAAATTAACACACAAAAAAACTCCTTAAGACTTAAAATAGCAAAACAAATTGTTATGACTATTGTCAACTGTTAACTGCCCATGAGAAACTATTGGACCCCGTAGAAATTCAAATGTAGGTAAAAATAAATTAATTCTTCAATTTCAAAGCTGGTTGGTGCAACAGATCTGAAGTGTAGCTTAAATAACCCACCTGTTAATTCTATTCTAGCTTTGTTCTGCACAACTTAATATTACACTACTGATCATTGAGAATGAAGGAACTAAAAAAAGAAACCAATTCCCATAAATTAAGTCATTACTTAGAACTTAACGTCAGATACGAACAAATCCTAATTGAAATTCTATATAAGGCTAGACTATATTAGTGAAACTCTGACTTTTGGAACATTAAAAACTGTTAAATATTTCAAGTTAGTAAACTAAACATAAATGACCATAATTAAGTCAAAAAATGTTACTAAAGATATTAAAAGACTTGCTTTTACCACTGGATAAGAATGATTTCTAACCTGCCTTAATTATTTATGTTTATATGAATTCTTCTGAGGTGAGGGTGCTTAATCAGCGGGTCCCTAAAGTTCCTTACTGAACCGAGCTTTGCAGATCTGTGCTTTTGTTCAGTGTGCAAAAGAAAACTCTTATTCAGCTCTATTCAAAAGAATAAGTAAATTATATGTTAATAAAGTTTTAAAAAGAGCACTACATACTGTGTTTAAGAAGGGAGAAATCTCTCTGGCCAAAATTCCCTTCACTGACTTGCCTTTTATTAGCCTGTTACAGAGAAGCTATATAACAACAGCTTCTGAACTTGTGCTGAAATGGTGAACACCCTCCAGGAGGAAAGCAAACTGGCCCGCCATGAAATCCCGCAGCATTGATTTCTTTCAGAGTGTTCTCCCCCAAATAACCAGTTCCGCCTTTTGCAAAGGGACAACAATTCTATTTTCATTCCCCGCCCTCTCACCATTTACTGCCAGGGAGCACAGACCTAACCGTAATGCCGAAACTATTTTTGGTAAATAAAGTGAGCATTCTTGCTTTCTTCACCTTCCTAGAATGGATCTGGAATTCCATTTTTATTAACGATTTTGTCAAAACAACCACAAAAACTTACTGTGGGACCGCCTCGATTCTTTTTTCAAAAGGTGTATTAGAAATCGCTGTAAAACCCTCTAGATAATCTTCACCAAGGTGGGCAGCCAGTTATACTCCACTCAACCCCAAAATACATTCGGAAAGTTAATTCATAAATCCTAAAGGCTTATTTCATCTCATGTGGGTTAAAAAATAGTAAGTTATTTTCAGATATTCATGCTTTTTTACCACAACTTGTAACATTTCCGGTTCACTTCTAGAAAGATGATCCGTACTTAAAGCATGCTTAAACACAAAATGATTGTGCTAGAATTGTTTAATCTGGATATTAGTTTTTTGGGGGGTTTTAAAGTGACACCGCCATTCATCTGCTTCTCTACTTCCCGTCACGTCTTCTCTAGAACTTCTGCAAGTAATACGTGCTCACGCTGCTACAGCAAGCGCAAAGGTCCCAGACCACAGACACCCACGGAGCAGAAGCTGACCTATTTCCCAACCTGAGCAGCACGGTGCCACGTGAAGCATCTGCCAGCATGTCAGCCTCAACCCCTTTCCTGGTCTACACGTCTATTTACACTGTTGTTGCTTTCTAGGGAAACAAAACCAATGAGATGATACCATGTGGTCACTCGGCCGCCAGCTTTATCATTACATCGTGAACGAATGAATGTGAACTGAACATGTGTCTTGAAAGTTGTACTTTTTTATGTGGAATAAACTTTCCATAGCCAATCACTTCTTTTCACTGATCACTGAAACCTGTGGGGTATTTTGCGTTCGCCACCATGAGCTCTGCTGTGATACCGCTCCTAAGACCAAACCTTTCCTACCCAGTGCCCACACCGCTGCAGGATAGATTCCGCCATACGGGTCTGCCTGCCAGGTGAACAGGTGCACATTAACTTATTTTTAACAAATATTGCCAGATTACTTTCCTAAGAGGTTACAGCAATTCACAGCCCTGGAACTACTGGGTCTGCTTCTCCTTATCCCAATCAGCAGCACACAGTGCACCTCTTAAACTGTGCCAACTTGGTGGTGAAATGAATGCCTGTTTTAATTTCCTTGTTTATGGCTATCATTTTCTTTGCAGCATCCGCCTCGCCTTTCTTTTCTACTGGAGTCTGTCTCTTCCTTATGAGTTTACGGGTCCTTTTTTGGTACTATATTAACTCTCTGCCATGTACTTCCTTGACTTCAGTTTATCATTTGTCTCTGACTCGACTTTTAGCCATTCGAAAATTTTCATGTTCACCATTTCCTGTCTTAATTCTCGCAAAAGAATTCCACGACCCTAGGGTTAGACATATATTCTCCTAAAATTTTTTTTTTTAATTTAAATCTTTAAACCACTGGAATTTATCTTGTACACGGTGTGAGGTGGGGGGTTAGCTTGGTTTTCTTCCGGATACGTGATGAGTTACAGCTGACCCTGAACATCGTGGGGATTGGGGCACCTTGCAGTCGAAAACCCACGAACAACTTAAGTCAGGTCCCTGCATGTGTGGGCTCCCAACAACGGAATGAAAGTACGTACGCCAATGTCAGGCTTGCCTCTCTTTCAAGATTCTATTCATGCCCTCTTTCTGAGCAAATATCAAGTTTCGATCACAACTGTTTCATAGTAACTTTTAATATCTGTTAAGGCAAATCTCTAAGTATACTTTAAAAATTGTTTCTGGCTATGATCAAACGTGCTTTCATAGACGCTTTAACATAATTTGGCCCCTTATATTCTTTAGTCTCTTATTAGATTTTATTCCTCAAGTTTTCTAAAAATTCTGCAGTACTTACTTAGAAATGTATTTCAATTGCTATCGTTGTCAGGATGGTTATAGCCCAGAAAAATCCATCAAATGTATCCTAGACACTCGCCTGTGATATCAGCGCCTCTGTAAACATTCTGTCCACTCACAACTCTTCACTGGGTCACCTCTTCTCGCCCTCAGCTCCCAGTATACTGTGTGTCCATGTCCCTTTTACTGCACTGCCCTCACAGCTGGCACTGTGTAGTCTTGTTTATCATGCATTTGCAGGCCTAACATAAGGTAACTAACTAGTCAGTTGACAGGGATGAACGACTGAATGAATTCCTTTGACTAGACTCATCCTCTCACCTAATTTCTGGAAAGGCAGAAACAATGGATGTCTCTGAGGATTTCAAGAATACGTGCAGTCAACCTTTATGTCAAAGTGCTCAAGTAGTCTGATGACAGCCATGCCTCCTGCGCCATGTTAGGCCTTTCCACTGAGAAAGGATTTGTACATACTTCTATTTATTGCTCACGCTAAGCCTGGGAGTAGGTGGGCTTACCCTATGTGGCCAGTGAGAAACTGAGATTCAATAACGAGAACTAATCTGCCCAAAGAATGTGACATGTGTGGTCCTGAACTAGTGACGCTGTTTCAGGGCGGGTGTGGAGGCCAGGGTGTGTGGTCGCGTTCTTCAGAACAGCCTTCAAAACCTTTTCAGTATATCATCTGCTCCATTCAATCATTCATTTACCAAATATTTATCAAAAACCTACCATCTGCCAAGTATTGCTTTGGATGCTGGGGATGCAGCAGTAAATAAAAAGGTAAAAATCTCTGCCTTATTAGAGCTTCTATTTTAATGAGAAAATAACCAAAAACCACAATGTAATTTTATAGCTAATATGTATTAACGGTGTGCTGTTCTACATGCTTTATGTGAAATAATATCCTCGTGGCAATCCTATGAAGTAGCTTTTAATGTTACCCCCACTTTACAGATGGGGTAAGTAAAGCACAAATGCAGCTCAGCTGCCCAAAGTCACACAGCTAATGAAATGCAGAGTCACAGGTTCCAACCCAGGCAGCCCTACTCCCGATCTCAGGCACCTAACTGCCACTTCACTGTGCCGTCTCTATGAGATGATTTTAAGCATCTTCAACTACATTTAAACTACTTCATGGATGAAATGGTCTTTTTGGGGACTGGTCTAAGATTTCACCAATGGTTAAACCATTTTCCATACAGAGAAAGATATATCGTATCCTCCCACCCCCCAGTACAGGGGGAGCCTCTGGCTATTCAGAAAGAGGAAAACGGGGCCCTTAGAAAACCCGTCACTGCTCCGCGGCCTGGCTGGCTGGAGGCTGGGTGTCTGAAGCGTGCAAAGTAGTACTACAGCTCTCTTTGCTCATATTTACAGAAATCACACAGAGTGGAAAGAATGAGGGCTCTGACGTGAGGCTGCCCTGGGCTCAGAGGCGAAGTGGGCACACCGCTAGTTCTCCCTCGCACAGATGGCTGAGGAATGAACGGGTGAAAGCAGGTGTTCTGCACGGTGCAGGGTACGAGAAACGGGCTCAGCAAAGCCAGGGTCACTCTGCTGGGTAGCCTACGCCAGCCTGCGCCTAGGCAGCTTGCAGGGCTCCCTCTGCGAGCCTGTGTGCACGCGCGGGCCTACTGAGGCCCATCTGGGGGATTTCTACATGGACTCCAAAATCTTGATGGGTCACACAAAGAGGTTCCTCCCTAAGTGACAGGACTTAGGAATTATGAAGACTATGTGCATCGGAACACAGGAATTCCAGACACAGCTTGGTAATACACGAGACAACTTCAGAATTTTCACGTGACTGTCAACAGCTGAACTTCACTTGCCAGTTTGGGGGCAACCCTTCACTGGCAGAGTGAGTGAGTGAGTGAGTGTGTGTGTGTGTGTGTGTGTGTGTGTGCGCGCGTAAGGTTTTCCTACTCTCTCCTTAAGCATATCTGAATTCTGATCCATTCACAGTAACAATAAGATTTTACACGGCCGGGTGCCAGCGCCCTGAACAGCTCTGCAGCCTCTGACGCTGTCCGTGCTCACTGCACCGGGTGCCATGCTGTGGACTGTAAGGACGACCCCTCTACATGCAAGGTAAGGAGACGATGTGATTTGCTGCCCGCAATCATCTGGTGGTTAAAATAACGTAAAAGCCGAACATCGTACTCAATTACTTTACCTTTCGCAAGTGTAACACTCGCAGAACTCATTATTTTCTCCAAAAAACCCATCTCCATAATAACAAGAAATTTCTTCTCCAGGTTCAATATCTCTTAGAGCCTTCACACACGCTGTATCTCGACCAGTTGACACAAACTGAAATAAAATGCACTCACTGAGAAACTCGTACCTGAACAGGAACTAAATATTTGAGATAAAAAAATGTTATGCTTACCTTGCAGTTAGGTCTGCAATCTGAAAAATGTCCAAAAGATAAAGTCAATTAACTGTAGGTAAGATCTGAAACACGAACAATTACAGAAATCTGAAATAAGCTTTCCATGTAATTTTATAGCTTTTGATAGAAGTTTAGGTCTCAAGTTAAACTACAGGAATATTTATTTTAATAAGTTCGTGGGAGAAAAAAAAATCACATTTCCAACCCTCCTTTAAGGGAAGATAAAGGTCTTGCTCAGTTTGATACGGTCATTGTCATTTTTAGCAGTACTGCTCAACACTAGTGCTAGCACCTGAGAAATGTCGCTTACCATGGTTTATAAATGCAGCAGGACCAAGCCAGAGCTGGGCACAGTTTTTCCTTGTGGAATACATGACACTGAAGTCGTTTTCTCCATGTCTAAGTAGCATGTTCTCCTCAATTTCTGAAAGTTCGGCAATACAACCCACCAGTAATTCTATTTTGTCATTTCGTTTCCTATTTAAAATATGTGATGTTAAAAATTACTAGTAATTATAAATAATAAGGCTTCTTTTAATATAATAAGCCTGTCCAATAAAAACCAAGAATTGAGAAGACCTAGCTACGCGTATCTTAGCTGATTCACTCGGCTCCCCACCTAGAAACCCCAGAGCCTTGTGCCACGGTCACTTGCGCAGCGGCCTTATCCGCACAGGAGGCTGGGAAGTCCCGCAGGGTACAAGTGTGCTCTGTGCCTTTGCAGCACCGAGCACAGTGTCTTGCAAGCAGACAGGACTCCTGCTGCACTGATTTCGACTTGCTGACACTGGATGAAAGAGACAGGACAAGCAGTAGGAAAGGGTTACAAGGACCCAGAACTGGGGTGCCACCCGCTAGAGCAGCACCGCGCCCCAGACACGCAGTGCGAGCCAAGTACAGAACCTCCATTTTCTAGCAGCCACATTAAGAAAGTAAAAAGAAAACAGGTGAAATTATTTTTAGTAATGTATTTTAACCCAACATACCCCAAATACTGTTTCGGCAGGTAATCAGTATAAGCTATATTAATGAAAAATATAATTTAATATAAAATCTAGCATTCATATGACAGCACTTCTCAATTCAGATGAGCCACATTTCAAGGGCTCAGTAGCCACATGTGGCTGGTGGCTACCATGCTAGACAGTGCAGCTCTAGAACCCAAGATGTCAAACTTCCACAGCCATCCACAATACACGGAACCACGGGAGCTGATGAGCAGGCCTGATGCCATCCCAAGAGAGACAACATACGCTCACGTACATCCCAGCTTGGGAGCGACG